TTTTTTTTATTCCTTTTTTAGGATTATTACAACTTTTAAATTAGGAATTACCCCACCGTCCTGCACAATTTTTTTTTTGAGCACTTGGAAAACTTACATTTTGGATAAAAAATGCAGCAAAAAGGTTTCTGATCTTAATTGAGTGACAAAAGCAACACGAGCGAATTCGATGGAGCCTTACTGTTGAGTTCATGAATAAGAGGCTGCACATAAACCAATTTCATGACTTGAACAAAATAAGCAGATGAAAATAAGCTATAGATTGAGTTATGTTTGGCCAAATCTGAACAAAGATCCATCAGATATAATTCAAACATACAACCACAAGCTTTGGAGTTTTTCGATACAGGAATTGTCACACCGTCTGACAAGACAGTCATTAAGCAACACGAATCACCAACTTCAAGTTCTGCACCGCCATGTCTACCAGGAATCGTATTACAACTTAGCATTTACACCAACAAAAAGTGAGTGAACTTGGAATTTAAACTTACATATTTATTTATTCCTTTTTTAGGATTATTACAACTTTTAAATTAGGAATTGCCCCACCGTCCTGCACAATTTTTTTTTTCAGCACTTGGAAAACTTACATTTTGGATAAAAAATGCAGCAAAAAAGGTTTCTGATCTTAATTGAGTGACAAAAGCAACACGAGCGAATTCGATGGAGCCTTACTGTTGAGTTCATGAGTAAGAGGCTGCACATAAACCAATTTATGACTTGAACAAAATAAGCAGATGAAAATAAGCTATAGATTGAGTTATGTTTGGCCAAATCTGAACAAAGATCCATCAGATATAATTCAAACATACAACCACAAGCTTTGGAGTTTTTCGATACAGGAATTGTCACACCGTCTGACAAGACAGTCATTAAGCAACACGAATCACCAACTTCAAGTTCTGCACCGCCATGTCTACCAGGAATCGTTTTTCAACTCAGCATTTACACCAACAAAAAGTGAGTCAACTTGAGATTTTAACTTATATATTTTTTTTATTCCTTTTTTAGGATTATTACAACTTTTAAATTAGGAATTGTCCCACCGTCCTGCACAATTTTTTTTTTGAGCACTTGGAAAACTTACATTTTGGATAAAAAATGCAGCAAAAAAGGTTTCTGATCTTAATTGAGTGACAAAAGCAACACGAGCGAATTCGATGGAGCCTTACTGTTGAGTTCATGAATAAGAGGCTGCACATAAACCAATTTCATGACTTGAACAAAATAAGCAGATGAAAATAAGCTATAGATTGAGTTATGTTTGGCCAAATCTGAACAAAGATCCATCAGATATAATTCAAACATACAACCACAAGCTTTGGAGTTTTTCGATACAGGAATTGTCACACCGTCTGACAAGACAGTCATTAAGCAACACGAATCACCAACTTCAAGTTCTGCACCGCCATGTCTACCAGGAATCGTATTACAACTTAGCATTTACACCAACAAAAAGTGAGTGAACTTGGAATTTAAACTTACATATTTATTTATTCCTTTTTTAGGATTATTACAACTTTTAAATTAGGAATTGCCCCACCGTCCTGCACAATTTTTTTTTTCAGCACTTGGAAAACTTACATTTTGGATAAAAAATGCAGCAAAAAAGGTTTCTGATCTTAATTGAGTGACAAAAGCAACACGAGCGAATTCGATGGAGCCTTACTGTTGAGTTCATGAGTAAGAGGCTGCACATAAACCAATTTATGACTTGAACAAAATAAGCAGATGAAAATAAGCTATAGATTGAGTTATGTTTGGCCAAATCTGAACAAAGATCCATCAGATATAATTCAAACATACAACCACAAGCTTTGGAGTTTTTCGATACAGGAATTCTCACACCGTCTGACAAGACAGTCATTAAGCAACACGAATCACCAACTTCAAGTTCTGCACCGCCATGTCTACCAGGAATCGTATTTCAACTCAGCATTTACACCAACAAAAAGTGAGTCAACTTGAGATTTTAACTTATATATTTTTTTTATTCCTTTTTTAGGATTATTACAACTTTTAAATTAGGAATTGCCCCACCGTCCTGCACAATTTTTTTTTTCAGCACTTGGAAAACTTACATTTTGGATAAAAAATGCAGCAAAAAGGTTTCTGATCTTAATTGAGTGACAAACGCAACACGAGCGAATTCGATGGAACCTTACTGTTGAGTTCATGAGTAAGAGGCTGCACATAAACCAATTTATGACTTGAACAAAATAAGCAGATGAAAATAAGCTATAGATTAAGTTATATTTGGCCAAATCTGAACAAAGATCCATCAGATATAATTCAAACATACAACCACAAGCTTTGGAGTTTTTTGATACAGGAATTCTCACACCGTCTGACAAGACAGTCATTAAGCAACACGAATCACCAACTTCAAGTTCTGCACCGCCATGTCTACCAGGAATCGTATTTCAACTCAGCATTTACACCAACAAAAAGTGAGTCAACTTGAGATTTTAACTTATATATTTTTTTTATTCCTTTTTTAGGATTATTACAACTTTTAAATTAGGAATTGCCCCACCGTCCTGCACAATTTTTTTTTCAGCACTTGGAAAACTTACATTTTGGATAAAAAATGCAGCAAAAAGGTTTCTGATCTTAATTGAGTGACAAACGCAACACGAGTGAATTCGATGGAACCTTACTGTTGAGTTCATAAATAAGAGGCTGCACATAAACCAATTTCATGACTTGAACAAAATAAGCAGATGAAAATAAGCTATAGATTGAGTTATATTTGGCCAAATCTGAACAAAGATCCATCAGATATAATTCAAACATACAACCACAAGCTTTGGAGTTTTTCGATACAGGAATTCTCACACCGTCTGACAAGACAGTCATTAAGCAACACGAATCACCAACTTCAAGTTCTGCACCGCCATGTCTACCAGGAATCGTATTTCAACTCAGCATTTACACCAACAAAAAGTGAGTCAACTTGAGATTTTAACTTATATATTTTTTTTATTCCTTTTTTAGGATTATTACAACTTTTAAATTAGGAATTGTCCCACCGTCCTGCACAATTTTTTTTTTGAGCACTTGGAAAACTTACATTTTGGATAAAAAATGCAGCAAAAAGGTTTCTGATCTTAATTGAGTGACAAACGCAACACGAGCGAATTCGATGGAACCTTACTGTTGAGTTCATGAATAAGAGGCTGCACATAAACCAATTTATGACTTGAACAAAATAAGCAGATGAAAATAAGCTATAGATTAAGTTATATTTGGCCAAATCTGAACAAAGATCCATCAGATATAATTCAAACATACAACCACAAGCTTTGGAGTTTTTTGATACAGGAATTCTCACACCGTCTGACAAGACAGTCATTAAGCAACACGAATCACCAACTTCAAGTTCTGCACCGCCATGTCTACCAGGAATCGTATTACAACTCAGCATTTACACCAACAAAAAGTGAGTCAACTTGAGATTTTAACTTATATATTTTTTTTATTCCTTTTTTAGGATTATTACAACTTTTAAATTAGGAATTGCCCCACCGTCCTGCACAATTTTTTTTTCAGCACTTGGAAAACTTACATTTTGGATAAAAAATGCAGCAAAAAGGTTTCTGATCTTAATTGAGTGACAAACGCAACACGAGTGAATTCGATGGAACCTTACTGTTGAGTTCATAAATAAGAGGCTGCACATAAACCAATTTCATGACTTGAACAAAATAAGCAGATGAAAATAAGCTATAGATTGAGTTATATTTGGCCAAATCTGAACAAAGATCCATCAGATATAATTCAAACATACAACCACAAGCTTTGGAGTTTTTCGATACAGGAATTCTCACACCGTCTGACAAGACAGTCATTAAGCAAGACGAATCACCAACTTCAAGTTCTGCACCGCCATGTCTACCAGGAATCGTATTTCAACTCAGCATTTACACCAACAAAAAGTGATTCAACTTGAGATTTTAACTTATATATTTTTTTATTCCTTTTTTAGGATTATTACAACTTTTAAATTAGGAATTGCCCCACCGTCCTGCACAATTTTTTTTTTCAGCACTTGGAAAACTTACATTTTGGATAAAAAATGCAGCGAAAAGGTTTCTGATCTTAATTGAGTGACAAACGCAACACGAGCAAATTCGATGGAGCCTTACTTTTGAGTTCATGAAATCTTAAAAAAAATTCATCACATATCATTCAAACTCATTCAGTTTGCTAGTTTAAAAGTTGGCATCAACTTGTTCAGCATAATAATTCCTCAGTTCAGTTCTATCTTCGTTCTCTTACTTACGTTTTTACTCTCAGTACTTAAGAACTTAAAATGATTGTTAAAATCTTCTAGTGTTTATTATATTTACACCCTATTCATTTATTTGTGGAAATTTCGTTGGAAAAATTAATCACAAACTCACCTAATGCTTTGGATAGGTTAACTGGGATAGGTAGAATTTTTATCTACAATTATCTACATGAAGAATCGATCTACATGCAGAATCTATCTACATGTAGATAGAGTCTATTTAAAAAAATTGTCTTTATGAAGACAAAATATAGGAAAGAGTGTGCTTAACGGTTGTGATGTTAAAAACCTGTTTAACCTCAAAATCATGCAAAGCGCATATCCAAACTGCAAAAAACACGATATACGACCCAGAAAAATACCAACAGCTTCCATGCTATGCGTGGAAGTTAATATCATAAATTATTATCAAAGGAGAATAATAATAATAATAATTATCAACAATCAAGTTATCAGTATATTTTGAAAAATTTTAAATGTTGAGAAAAACATTTTTACGTCTTATATTTATTGACTATTATTGAAAACATGCTACTTTGAGACAAGATGAAAATAATTTACTTTCAACAAAGTCAAATCTTTTTTTAATGATTTCCATGAAACACAAAAATATTTTTTTATTGTGTCTTTTTTTTATCATTTTCATTTACTAACATCAACACATATATAAATCTCTTTTGTCAGTTCTCTCTACGTCTCTCACTTCGTTTTTTTTTGTATTTATAAAACTGTTTGTCAATATAAATCAGCTGTTTAGTTCTAGAAGTGATTTCATAATAATTAAAAGTTCTAGCTAGAAAAAAATTAATCAACCAAATAATGAAAGTTTGTGTTATTGGAGCAGGAGCATCGGGACTTTGTGCCATCAAAAATTGCCTGCAAAATAATTTAGACGTAATTGGATTTGAGCAATCCAACGAAATTGGAGGAACATGGGTGTACACAGATAAAATTGATAAGGATGAAAGAGGACTTGATATTCATTCTAGCATGTATAAAGGTCTTTATACAAATCTTCCAAAAGAACTTATGTGCTTTCCTGACTTCCCATTTCCGCCTCAAGAGAAATCATTCTTGCCTGCCAGTGATGTTCTCAGCTATCTAAAGCTCTACGTAGATACATTCAATGTGCGTTCAAAAATTAAATTCCTACACGCTGTCGAACGAGTTCGTCCACTTATTGACAATTCATGGGAAGTGATTGTGAAAAATCTAATTACAAACATGAATGAAACTTTTATTTTTGATGCTATCCTTGTATGTACCGGACATTTTAACGTGCCACACATACCAAAATTTGAAGGTCAGAAAACTTTCCGAGGACGACAAATTCATTCACATAAGTATCGTGTGCCTAAAACTTTTCACAACGAACGGGTTTTGGTTATTGGTGGAAGCTCTAGTGGAACGGATTTAGCACGGGAAATATCAAATGATGCTAATTTGGTATTATGGTCACATCATCTAAAAGAGCAAGTGGATCTGAAAGCAATTAAAAACAATGTCATACAGAAGCCAGACATATCAAGGTTAACAGAGAATGGTGTATTTTTCAAAGATGGAACATTTGAAATGATTACAACAGTACTTTATTGCACGGGATATGAATTTACATTTCCTTTCTTATCCATTGACTGTAATCTGAGTTGCTTTGAAAATTACGTACAGCCTCTTTACAAGCATTGTATAAATATCAATAGACCATCGATGGCAATTGTTGGAATTATTTTCAACAACTGTCCATTTCAAACATTTGATCTTCAGATAAGATTTTACTTGAAATTCTTGATCGGAGAAAAATCATTGCCATCACGTGAATTAATGCTTTTAGACACTGAAAAGGATATGAATGAAAGATGGCAAAGGGGGTTGAGTACAAGAAAAGCACATTCATTTGGTGATGGTTATCAGAATGACTACTACAAAGATCTTGCGGTCACAGCTGACATACAGCCTATTAAGCAATATGTTACTAAAATGTACTCAGAAAACCAACAGAACAGAAAGAGAGATATAACAACATTTCGAAACTATAAATTTACAATTATCAATGATGAGACTTTTAAAACCCAGTTGTTGTTGGAATAATATTTGTGTACACTTAAAAACATTTTTTTTTTTCTTTTCATACTATAAACAATTAAAAATTTAAATAAATATTTTAACACAATAAATTTGTGGTCAAAGAATTTTTTATCTAAATAAAACTTCGGATATAGCTTTGGTTATAATATCCCACAAACATTTTCCATTCTCAATTAGTAGTTTGTTCAATATATTTTCGAGAGAAACAGAGAGAGAAATTAATATTCGCACACACAAATGAACCATTGTGAGAATATTTGAATTATTCTATTGAATAAGTGTAATTAATTATATCATATAGAAGAAAAGGTTTATGGAAATTTTGTCTTTCAACTCCTTTTTTCTACTCAAACTTGCTTTAATGAAATCATATTTTATCTGAGAGTTCAGTTTTATTAAAAGCACATGAGTAAGTGTAAAGACTGGAGCTGTTAAGTCATTAATTAAAGAGAAAATTCGACTTTAAGCCCAAATTTCTCTTAAATTGATGACTTTCTAGCTCCAGCTTTTAAACTTACTTGTGAAGAAAATATTTTAAAAGAAATTTTTATAGAAAATGTAGACATTCGCTAAAATGGCGAGTGCTGCGAGAGTAACATTAATATATTTGGTGACTTAAACAATTATCGTAAAATGAAATTAAAGATTATTTAATGATGATACATGATGCTATCATTCAAATTATCATAAAGTAAAAAGTTGATAAATATATGGTTTTTAAAATATTATTATAAATAGAACCGATGAATAAATGATATTGTCTTATTACAATTTATATTTTGTTCACTTTGAAATAAAGATGATAATTTGTTTTATCTTTGATTAATAAACATAAATCAATAATATTAGCATAAAATAGGAAACCTTTAGACTAGAAAATGAAGCGTTGTTCACTTAATAAACGTATATTTTTAATTAATAGTTTATATTCATTATTTCTGCTTTTTTAACTTCTCGTCGTAAGTCACGTCAACACGTTTTAATTACAACTTTAAAAGCTGTTAAAGGAACATAATTTATTCAATCAATGTTTACTTAAGTGACTGACTTGCCAGCATTATTTTCACTCAGCTAAAATATTGTGTTTTATGAATACTTACTTTAAAGAAGATATCTTAAGCGTTTAAAAATTAAGAGAGAATAAACAGTTTATTTTTATTTCAGCAACATGTTCCATCCTATAAAAACCTATATGGTCTAAAAATGTGTTAAAAATTGCTTTTTGAAACAAAACTGCCTAGCATCTAATATGAAACGTGAAAAAGTGTACCGAGTTTTGAAACATTTAGTTGCTTATTTTTTTCAGACATTAAATTTGTCTTTTCGTATCCATTGCTATATCATCTGCAAAAAGGCCAATGTTGTTGGTTGTTTCTCTTACAACATCATACGGTGAGAGCACTGCTCCCTGTAGCATTCCGAATCGAATTACCTTGATTTCTGAGAACTGACCTTTAATAAAAACTGCGAAAGATCTTTCACTGAAAAAAGATCTTACAGTTTTCATGAGCAGCAGTGGCAGACTCTGTAAAATGCTTTTTCTACATCCAGGAAGATCATGCCTGTTGACTTTTTGTTGTTTAAGTTTTCTTTTGCTGATTTGAAAACTTTGATAAACTGGTGAACGAGATGATCGTTGATTCTGTCCAGCAATACTTTTGAGTATATTCTTATTTAGCCAAGTAGATTTATTGGCCTGCTTAACTCATTCACTGGTTTTCTAAGTTTTGGGATCTGAATATGGCACTGATGTTTATTTAAAAAAAATATGAAGGTCTTAAAACAAATGTACCAAAAGGAGCAATGGATTTTTCTGATTTTCCATTTGTAGATAACAAAAAGTCTTGTTTATCACATAAAGAATGTTTTAAATATAATCAATCATATGCTGACACAATCAAATTGCGTCACTATATTAAATTCATCCATACAGTCATCCCAGCTTGTCCACTGATAAATGATAAATAGGAAAAAATTGCCAAGAATTTCTCAAATAATGAATATAAAAATTACACATTCGACGCTTTTTTTATTTGCATTGGATTTTCTGAATCATTGATGCCAAAAATTGAAGGCCATAACAAATTTAAAGGTCAAATAAAACATTCAAAGGACTATCGCAATCCAAGTTTATATGAAAATAAAAAAATTGTTATTGATCGGCAGTGTATTAAGTGCGTTAGATTGGTCATAGCGATTGGGAAAATAATACATATTTTACACCCAAATTTCTTGGGTTCTTAAGAATTAAAGATCAACACGGAAATCGGAACTTCCAAAAAGTGTGAAAGAAATGCTAGCAGTTGATTTATTTCTGACCTTAAATATGCAATTAGTAGACACAAAGCTTATTACCTGAAAGTACTAAGATTGAATCAATGAAACCGGTTTTTGCAAAAAAAATCCTTCACCATGCATGGTTAATGATTTTGTTTCATTTATAAACCACAATTCAACGAATTTAAATGGACTCGTATTGCTTTTATTCAACATCTTTCAATTAAAATTTTAAAATTTATTTCACAATTAATCAATGTTGGTAGGAATTTTTAATAAGGATTATGAGAAACTTCTACGTTTAAGATAGACTCTATAATAGAATCAAAGGTTAAAAAAAGAAAGAAATTCTTTAATGAATAATAAAAAATTCAGATCAAGCGTAAGTAGGTTCAAAGTTCATAGTTCATAAATTTTTCAAAATATCAAAATCATTAATAATTAGAATCAACATTGAAGATGAAGTTTAAGAAGCTAAGAAAGAAACTAATAATGAAGTTAATTGCAATTAATTGATGTCACAACTTTTCGGTTTGAAGAAATTAATCATATTTCCAGTTTATGAGCTTGAAAAAATATAAATTTACGGACTAGCAAGAAGCAAAAAAAAGAAAGTAAGAAAGCATAAATGAGAGCAAATAATAATACAACTGAGAATATGAAATGGTTTTTTTATATGCATGGAAAGATAAACATTTTCAGTGTTATTGTAATGTCGGAATTTGTTTAAAGCTTCATAGTTTATTAAGTTTAATTATTTTATAAGTAATAACTTTGATTTCAAAAAATATGATTGAAGACTCTAGCTTCAAAATGTTTATTGATTTAGAGAGAAGACGTAATGAGAACGAAATGTGAACGATTTGGTCATATCTTTATCTTTTAATCTAACAACCTGATTAGTATTAAAACAAAGTCTATTAGATAAGAAAGAAGGAGAAAATTCAAGGCTGAGACATGCCATGAAAGTTTTTACTGATGGGAAATTTAATTAAATTTTGAAGAAATGTAATTAATTTAATGCTCAACAGAAAATTATTTCTCTTGAGTAATCTTATTAAAGATACTTCAAGCGATTAAACATTTTGAATAATTTGAAGTTAGCTTCTTTTTAAAAGCAATTACAATTTAAAAAGAAGATACAACCAGTTTCATTCTTGAATACTACTTAAATGATAAGCTAAGGCTGACCATCTGCTTAAGTTTTTAAAATATAACCTTCTTTTTTTTATTTTTCAAAAATAAAAAAATTGGACTTGTTCTTATTCGTTTAGAAAACAAAATAAACCTGACGATATGAAGAATTTCCTTTATTTTTCTAGAAAATATCTGGTATGCCTTGATAAGCTCTACTTTTTCATTCACTTGAATTTCTCGTCATTTTATTCAGTGCTATTTGTAACTTTCAAGTGAAAAGATCTTCAAAAAAAGAAGAGTAAAAATAATGAAAGTTTGTGTAATCGGAGCTGGTGCAGCGGGTTGGTCTATAAAATTTAATTCTGACCAAATAACATTTTAATTTTAATCACTTTTATTTTTTTTTTTCTCTGATTATCTGAATATTTTTTATTACAGGTCTCTGTGCAATAAAGCATACGATTAATTATGGTTTAGAAGTTACAGCATATGAGCAAGCAAAAGAAATAGGTGGAACATGGGTGTACACTGATGATATTGGAAAAGATAAATATGGTTTGGACGTTCATTCAAGCATGTATCAAGGATTAAATACAAATTTGCCGAAAGAAATAATGCATTATCCTGACTATCCGTTTCCAGAACAAGAAAATTCCTATTTGAGTGCTGAGGAAGTTTTAAAGTACTATCAATCGTATGCCGATAGCTTTAATTTAAGGAATTATATAAAATTTGAGCATCATGTTGTGCGTGTTCGCCCATTACTTAATGATACTTGGGAAGTAATTGTTAGAGATCTAAGACGCAATACATACGAAACTGTTAATTATGATGCCATTCTTGTGTGTAATGGCCATTATAATACACCATTCATTCCGGATTATGAAGGACGAAACATTTTCGAAGGAAAGCAAATTCATTCGCATGATTATCGATGCGGTGACCCTTATACTAATGAATCTGTCTTAATAATAGGAAATGGGCCATCGGGTCGTGATGCTCTTCTTGATATTCAGAATGTTGCTGCGAATGTCACATGGTCACATCATTGGGAAAATGGGTCTCTTATCAATCATTTGCGTAATAGTGTCACACAAAAACCTGACGTATTAAAATTTAACAAAGACGGTGCGTTTTTTATCGATGGATCTTATCAAAAATTTTCTGTTATTCTTTACTGCACAGGCTATCGTTATACATTTCCTTTCTTATCAGTTGATTGTGGTTTGATGGTTAATGATAATTGCATTGAACCTCTTTATAAACATTGCATTAATATTAATAGACCAACATTGGCTATTATTGGTCTCCCAAATTTTGTATGTCCCAATCAGTTATTTGATATCCAGACTCGTTTCTGTCTTACATTCATATCAAGAAAACAAAAATTTCCAAAAAAGGAAGAAATGTTACGGGATTTAGAAAACGATATAAAAGTTCAGCTAATAGAGCGAGGCTTCCCTAAAAGAAAATTTCATCTCTTAGGGGTTGGTCATCAAGAAAAGTATTATGATTCTTTATCTGAAATAACTAACATTGATCCAATTGAACCAGTCATAACAATGATGTTTGAAAAAAGCATGTCTAATTTAGTTCAAGATTTCGTAAATTTCCGTAAAGAAGTCTTTAAAGTTATTGACAGCAAGTCTTTTTTTACTACTACAAAGCAATAATTTATTCATTAAATCCTTATCCTCTGTTAAATTATTCGTTCGTGCCAAAATTTTTATGACATCTATTGTGTCATTTGTTCCTTACTTTTCTTGTTATTCTAATTGATTTTTTTTTTTTGTATCTATTGTAAACTTTAATTGCGATAAGAGATGGCTGTAGTGTCTTAAAAAAATTTCCTTTTTGAATAAAGGAAAATGCTCCAAAAACCCAAAAATGTTTTCATTCTCGAAGCGCAGGACAATAAGTTTTCAAATACAAAAGATGGAGCTTTGCATTATACGACTTTTCATAGTTAAAGAAAATTTTATGATTTTTGGGTTTTAAATAACTTTAATTTAAATTTATGAAAATATTTTAAATAAAGGAAACTTGAGTTTTATTCAATTGCATTTGTTTAATTAACCCTTAAAAATTAATGTTCACCAAAAAGTTTCAACTACAATTTAAAATAACGGTTAAAAAAAATTTAAACTCCTCGGAAAAGCTGTAGGATACAAAAACAATAATACAAGTTTTGCATAGAGTTTACAGGCAAAAATTCTTTAAACAATTGATTGTTATTTTAAATTGTTCAGAGTTAAAAGGTACTATGAATAATAGAAATCCGAAAGTTAGGAGACGTGAATATACAACAGATGTTCATAGCAACTTTGAATACAATGCTGATCAAAATACAAATAACTTTAATGAAGTGAACCGTGTTAAGTTTCAAAATAATGAAGCAGATATAATATTGGATCGAAAGATTAACTATTTTTACACTCCTGGTCGTTGTGGTGGTGATGCTTTTTCAGCGAGTTTGTTAATGTCTTCAGATTATTGGCATAGTATCACTGTAAGTGAATTCGAATCAACAATTTTGAATTGTTTCACACAAATAATTAATGCATTTCTTCACTTTCTTAATTCAAGGTTCATCATCAAGGTCTTTTTACAAAAGGAGAAATAGCAGCTGGATTAGAAGAAATGGTTGAAAACAAATATTTTATCCCTATTGCATACATTTCGGGAATAAATGAGGATACATTCTATATTTACAATCAATCTAGTGCATTGCAAAATATGATAAAGAAAAATCTTGAAACAGTTGTTACCAACAAGTCTTTGAGATTTACATTGAAATTGGGAGTAGGATGCTACGTAAAAGGACAGTTAAATCCTATCGAAAAAATTGATCTTGCAATTGCAGACGTTATTAGTAAATACCGAGAGCTGCGATTAGATTTTAGTTATTTTGATAAGCACCGTGCGTTCGTTGATATGCAATTCTCTCTGAAAAATCATGGATGTTTTAACATTTTTTGCGACCGATTGCTGTACGCGCTACAAATTGATATGAATAGGAATGTTCTAGCAAACATAAGGATTTTAGTACTTGTTGGAAATAAGATTAAATATCTACAACCTTTGTCCAAACTTACGAAATGTAGAAGCTTACAAAACATAAGTCTTAAAAATAATTTGATTGAATCTATAGAGGAGTTAGAAGCTCTTAAAATTTTGAATCTTAAAGCATTAAGTGTTGCTGGGAATTTAATCATGGCGAATAATGAAAGTATTCTTGCAAATAAAATAATGAAAATTTTACCGTCGCTCGAAAAGCTAGATATCAAAAGAAAACATGAGGTTCTAGATACACCAATTGTCGAAAATATTATTACTCCTAGTAAATCTTCTGAAGATGTCGTAAAATCAATTGACATAGATGAAAATTTCAAAAATGAATTTCCAAGAAGAGAATTTATTAAAGCCTTTTGGAGTAAAATTGTTATTGAACATAATGGAAGATTCAAAAGTAAGGTAATTTTAGATGAAATGTTTGAAGCCTTTTTTCAAGATGTACCGTGCTACATTTGCTACTATAAAACAGGAGAATTAGAAGATTCATTTATGCTTTATATGAATTTTTCTCCAATGAACATACTCGTAGTAAATGATTTAAAAATGAAAATGAAGGGAACAAATGAATTTGTTACATTTAGACTACATTTAAAATGTTCTACTTTTACTAAGGGAGAATTAAAATGGAGTGAATTAATTGGAAAAGTCGTTAACAAACGGATTAGTGCAGCAAAATTGGACCTGAGTAATTTTTGCAATGACCCAGATTTTAAGGAACTAATTTTCAATTTAAAAGCTGCTGATGTAAAAAAACATATTTTGCAGTGTGCCTTAAATATAAATCCTAAAATTATTGAAATCAATTTAAGCAATAATGATTTGAATTCATTTAAAGGACTCGGTATAATTAAATCTTTCCCAGAATTAATTTCCCTAAACTTGTCTCAAAATAATATTGAATCATTATTTAGATTCCCAGAAAATCTTAAAATTGTAGAGCTAATTGTAGATCAAAATCCTTTATGTGAAAAATTTAAAACCCCAATATCAACAACATACGAGTATGTAAAGGTTTTTAATGCTCTATGTCCACAACTACAATACATTGATGGACGAAAAATTGATCAAAGTTTCAAAATGATTAACATGCAAAATTATTATACAACATCAAATGCACATAATACAGTAGAAAGCTTTTTAAGCTACTTCTACAAAAACTTCGACAATAATTATAATCGTATGATATTATGTGATGTCCTGTATAAATCAGATTCGATTTTAACAATAAAATGTGAAAATGACAAAACACTCGTAAAAATTGGAAAGGAGGATATAAAAAGATTCTATCAAGAATTTACAATTACAGAGCATGACTTTATAACAATGACAGTTGATACACCATTATTTAATAATCAAAACATCCTAATAAGTGTGAATGGAGTTTTTAAGCAAAAAAAATTTCAATCAATGAACGAAGAGGACAATATATTTACATTTTCACGGACATTCCTGCTAAGGATGGAAAAGCGTAATAATGGAAGAAAATCTCGAACTCCCGGAACTCTTTCTGAAACATACAACTATGAGATACAAAATGAAATGTTCAATTATGCAGTTTTAAATGATAGCAGAATCAAAATAAAAGCATTTAAGAAGAAACCAGCTACTGAAGAAGAAATCGAACTAGTATTTGATAACAAAATCACGATGAAAAACGAATTCACTGCTAATATGGAATTATTTCGACAAACAACATTGTTATCTGAAAAATGGTGCTTAAGGTAAAAATATATTTGACTTTTATTCATTTATGTTTTTTCATTTCAAAAATTTAATCTTTATTCCTATAGAATTTTGGAAGATGCCAATGGTGACTTTACAACTGCTTTAAATTATTTTCTTGAAATGTATAAAATTCAGTTTTTCAAAAAAGAAGACTTCAATTTTTGAAATTGTTTTTATAATTAAATCAGCTTTTTAATAATTTTGAACGTTGTAATAAATAGTTTTAAGATTTAAAAATAATAATTTTGTTTCTTTCTGTTTATTTTAAAATTTTATCTTTTTTAAAATGTTTTAGCAAAAAACTCTTTATCAATGCATTCCTTTGTAAACATTTTTACATACGATTGATATATTGTATGAATGTATGTATATGCTAGAATTTAGAAGTTTAAGACATAGCTTAATTTCCTTTGCTTTTTTTTATTTTTTTTTCTAATCATCGATCATAAAAAAATAGAGTTATGTTAAATGTGTACAATGCATTCCTTTAATTTTACATTTTACATATAAAAACGAGTTTTTTGCTGGCACATCATTATCTTTTTCAAATCAATTTATTATTTAAGATTCAGAATTTTTACATGTAATTAGGGTTAGTTTACTTATAACGACTATAATAAATGGAATAAATTTTTTTTTACAAAATTTTTCGTGTTCTTAAGGTGTCACAAAATCTTAGACTACCAAACTCCCTAGGTGCCGTTACCTATTATGTCACGTAAAATAATGTTTTTTTAAAACTGTTACAAAAATTCAGTATGCTTCTTTCATAAAGCGTTACGTAATAAGTAAATGGCAACCTAAATGAAGTATGTGACTTATTGAACTTTAATAAATGTCTCATCGTCTAATATACGAAAAACGTCTTTTCTGAAATTTGTAAGATCATCAAGAAATCTTTTAGAGCTCCAATTATGCAATTTGGTGATTACAGGTTTCAAAGGTTCAATTTCGGCCGCTTCAGCTAGATCAGCATAATATTTAATCTGTTCAGGGCCCATCATATGAAACTGATGTTTCTTAAATCCTTTTGCAACACGTTCATTTACCTCTTTATGGAAATCTTGCAACATTTTCTCCTTACTAGGTAATTCTTTCTGTTTACTAAAGAATTTAAGACAAAATCGTGCCTGCAAATCGAACATTTGAGTTGCACAAACATAAAATGGCAAGCCAATAAATCCAAGTGAAGGTCGATTAATACTTAAGCAATGTTTATATAAAGGTCGTACAAAATTATCATCACATGCAATTCCACAATCGACTGATAAAAATGGAAATGTATATTTATAACCCGTACAGTAAAAAATTACTGAGTAAGCCTGGGATGTTCCATCGTTAAAAACAACATTATTCTCTTGCAAGTACAAAACATCTGGTTTTTGATCGACATTTGATTGAAATACTGTTTTTGGTGGTTCCTTTAAATGATGAGAAAGAGTTACTCGATTTGCCTTTTTGGATATTTCATTCGCTAAGTCAAATCCTGAAGGTCCACCTCCAATAACTAAAACATTTTCACTTTTGAATAAATCAGGACAACGATAGTCATGCGAATGAATTTGTTTTCCCTTGAAAATATCAGCTCCTTTAAATATGGGATAAGTTGGAGTATGATAATGTCCACTACAAACAAGAACTGCATCGAAATTGAAGATATTGTATTCATTTTTCTTTAAGTCTTTTACAATAACTTCCCATGTATCGTCCTTTAGTGGACGAACTCTTAAAACATGATGTTCAAATTTTATGAGTTCACGAATTTTAAAATTATCAGTGTAAAGATTTAAGAAGTCAAGCATATCATTTGATGAAATATATGAATTTTGTTGTGCTGGTATCGGAAAATCTGGATAGCCCATTATTTCTTTTGGTAAATTTGTATGTAATCCTTTGTACATGCTCGAATGGGTATCAATTCCATATTTATTTTTACCGATGTTTTCATCATATACCCACGTACCTCCAACTTGATTTGATTGTTCAAAAACTGTAACCTCATAGCCAAAATGTTTTCCATGTTTTGCTCCTGCAAGACCTGCTGCTCCACTTCCTATTACACAGAGTTTCATTTTGAATTTATTAATATATCAACGCACTTCTAGTTCAGTATTCAAATCAACACTAAATTTGAGTGCATTACTGTTTCAATATTTATAGAATGGGACTCTTATCATTATCTCTAATGCTGACGCTTCAATTTTTCTTTCCTTTTATTTATTTCTTTCTTTTCTTCGTACTCATTTATATATTTCCAGACACTTACGGCCTGTTTCACGCAAGTGGATTATCCTCGATTTCGGATTATCCACTTCAGTTTTTAGCAAACATCTTAAACTTTATGGGAGGTGTGGTATTTCTAATTTTGGATTATAATAAAGTGAACTGTGGGTGTGAAGTACGGCCGAGACCCATATCTACACAATCCAAAAGTTATACCTAATTTATGTCATAATTATTTCAGTTACAAAAACACTTAGTTTGAATGTTGTCACCCTCGGGAACACTATGAACCAGTATAGCTGATTTTGGTCCAAATCTCGGCCATATTTCACACTTGTTTGAACCACATTTTCTCGTAAATGTTAAAATATTATTAAAAAGTTAACTATCCTTAAATTTGTCGCTGTTTTGTCAAGAGTTTTAAGATAAAGAAATTTTTTTTTGGTTTCCACAGTAAAGAGTATGAACAAAATGCAGGTGGGATAGTCGAAATTTTAGCTTTTGATTTTTTTTAAGCTATGCATTATAAAAAATAATATTGATATGTGATTTATGTCAGAATTATGTCAATTCAAATAATACATCCAAAAACATTTTTTGACCGAAGTACACCATAGAAAATCAATTTTCAATTTTGGACTAAGGGCGACCCTAGTCAAAATCAATTTTGTCACTTTTTTCTTCGAGGGTTTATCTAAATGGATTGAAACTTTGCATAAATATTCTAGTGCTTAAAACAAATACAAATAAAACATCCTAAAATTTTTTTGACTAAAGAACCAAGTAGGAAATACTTTTTTTATTATGAACTAGCGACAAGCCTAGTCAAAATCTAGTTTTTCGCTTTTTTTTTCTTCGAGGATAAATCCAAATACAGTGAAACTTTGTATGAGCATTTTAATACTTAGATCACACATTTCTGAATACATAAAAATCATTTTACTCGTAAAATGGACAAAATTTTGAGTTATGTTGTTTTTGAATGAACAACCAAGTTTATAAAATTTTGGTTTGACGACTTATAGAATACAATCAGTGTTGCATTCTGGCCATTTGTCTGGATCAGATAAATTCTGAGACAGAAATTTCTTCATAAAGATCGATTCTATGTGAAGATAGAAAATCTAATCTGCACAAAGATTATTTCTACATAAAGATTCTGTCTACATAAAGATTCGATGTAGATGTCTACAATTCTACATTTTTTCCAGGTCTACATCAGAGAAGAATGTAGAATTGTAGACATCTACATCGAATCTTTATGTAGACAGAATCTTTATGTAGAAATAATCTTTGTGCAGATTAGATTTTCTCAGAGGTCGAAGCGAGCATAGCGAAGCGAGTTTTTAGCGAGCTCGCTTCGCTAAAAATTCTACTTGCTAAAGTTGACCTGTAGCGAGAATTTTTTTTTTCTTTTCGCCTTAGCGAACCATAGCGAACTCAATTTTATTTTTTTTTGCTTTAGCGAACTATTAGCGAACTTAATTTTTCAAAGTTCGCTATAGCGAACTATTGGCGAACTAGAAAAATTTTTTTGGCTTCATATTAAGAGATGTCTGATTGCGTTTGTGAAGTATGTAATTTCATACAAAATTGCAAAAAATTATAGTTCGCCAATAGTTCGCTATAGCGAACTTTGAAAAATTAAGTTCGCTAATAGTTCGCTAAAGCGAAAAAAATAAAATTGAGTTCGCTATGGTTCGCTAAGGCGAATAGAAAAAAATTTTTCTCGCTACAGTTCGACTTTGGCAAGTTGAATTTTTAGCGAAGCGAACTTGGAATTTATCTGATCCAGACAAATGGCCAGAATGCAACACTGATTGTATTCTATAAGTCGGCAAACCAAAATTTTATAAACTTGGTTGTTCATTCAAAAACAACATAACTCAAAATTTTGTCCATTTTACGAGTAAAATGATTTTTATGTATTCAGAAATGTGTGACCTAAGTATTAAAATGCTCATACAAAGTTTCACTGTATTTGGATTTATCCTCGAAGAAAAAAAAGCGAAAAACTAGATTTTGACTAGGCTTGTCGCTAGTTCATAATAAAAAATGTATTTCCTACTTGGTTCTTTGGTCAAAAAAATTTTAGGATGTTTTATTTGTATTTATTTTAAGCACTAGAATATTTATGCAAAGTTTCAATCCATTTAGATAAACCCTCGAAGAAAAAAGTGAGAAAATTGATTTTGACTAGGGTTGCCCCTAGTCCAAAATTGAAAATTGATTTTCTATGGTGTACTTTTGTCAAAAAAATTTTTTGGATTCATTATTTGAATTGACATAATTCTGACATAAATCACATTCCAATATTACTTTTTGTAATGCATAGCTTAAAAAAAACGAAATCTAAAATTTCGACTATCCCACCTGCATTTTGTTCATACTCTTTAGGGGCTGTTCACTTATTACGTAACGCGAAAAAATGACTTTTTAGACCCCCCCCCCCCTCCCTCGTAACAAAATTTGTATGAAAAAAAAATTTCCTTGTTTGAACCGTAAAAAAATCTTAGACCCCCCTCCCCCCCTAAAAGCGTTACGTAATAAGTGAATGGCCCCTTACTGTGGAAAAAAAAAATTCTTTATCTTAAAACTCTTGACAAAACAGCGAAAAAATTCAGGATAGTTTACTTTTTAATAATATTTTAACATTTACGAGAAAATGTGGTTCAAACAAGTGTGAAGTATGGCCGAGATTTGGACCAAAATCAGCTATACTGGTTCATAGTGTTCCCGAGGGTGACAAAATTCAAACTAAGTGTTTTTGTAACTGACATAATTATGACATAAATTAGGTATAACTTTTGAACTGTGTAGATATGGGTCTCGGCCGTACTTCACACCCACGAGTGAACTATGCCTGAAATTTCTGTACACTTTAAACTTTTGCTTTTCATTAAGAAGTATTAATTATTCAATTTTCTAGCATTGTTCTCAATAAAACAAGATATGAAAGGATCACCGATCTTCATACAGAAGCGAAAATATAGAAAATTAAATCAAATTAAATACAAAAGAAAGTAAAATCCGTAAATTAAATCAAAAATTAAGTGACAAAAGGCAAATTGAATGCCTGAAACCTTAAAAAACAAAAAGCAACAAAATGTATAGAAACTTTGTACATACTTAAATTTAAATGTAAATAAATAAAAATTTTAATTTAAAAAAAATCAATTTTCTAGCCAAATCTAGTAGATTAACTTCGATTTTTGCTATAATTCTCAAACTAATAAAGATATAAAAATTCTTAGTATATGTTAATTTACTCTTTCTAGATCACACATTAGATCTCTTAATAACCTTAAGCGTCTGGAGATATTTCCAAAAAACTGAAGTGGATAATCCGAAATCGAGGATAATCAACTTGAGTGAAACAGGCCGACAAAATTTTAAACGTTTGTAAAGAAAACACTTTGAACTATAAAATGAAACACCGAAACACAAAAGGTCATGTCTTGTAGTTGGAAATATTAAAATGAAAAACATTTAAAAATACTGAAATTAAAAATGGTTTTGATTTTTTTAAAAAAAGTTTTTTGATCGAATGACTTCAGCACATTTTTGGTGCAGCGATCAGTATTTAATTAGTAAATTAATGCAAAAGTCAATTTAGCTGCTATCCCTAAGAAAGATTTAAACTTAATTAATGCAATATTTTACAAAAAAAAAATATGTACGTTATTTAATATAATTAACAATGGTCATTATAAATTTTTTTAGTGAATTTGTGTATTATAAAAGACTTTGACAATTAAACGTCTGACAAGTTTTCGTCCGACTTAATTGTTTTTATATTCACACCGTATTCAAATGTGAATATTTTTTTTTAAGATTGTCAAATCAGTTTTTCGAATTCTGTAACAAAATGGAGCAAGATAGCTGAAAATAATCAAACAAGAAAAGCTTTTGTTTAAAATTTGACATCTCCTGCAAAAAACAGAATTCAATTTGGTTGCGGCATTGTTGAGAAAATCGAAAAAATACGCTGTCTATTTGCAAGCAAATAAGCAAGTTAACTAGCAAGAAATCTCAATAACAAGCCATCGTAGAGACATCTAGTTTTTTGCATTTGATCCGTTTTGGTTTATTATATTATATGAGGAGCTGTATTATTTTTGAGCAAGGTAGGAACAGCCGTTTCCTCCAAAAAAGCTAAAAACTTTTCTGTCTTTCGAATTTTTAAAAATCAAATTTTATTATGATTATACTGAGCAAAGCTTGGTCTTTGTACAAGACTTTCTATGGTACGGTGTGAATATATACAGCTTCCTAAATGACCGATACTGGAATAAAACGATGATACTGAACTAATTAAACAAACCCGAGCTTTTTTACGATGTCTGGTTAAGGCATTTTTGATGTACATACTTCCAACGATCAAAACGAGTTATTATAATTATAATTTTTTAAAAATGCGCTTAATAGGGCCTTAATAAAGTCAATTAAGAAGAAGAAGAAATAATTGTAGGATAAATTTTTTCATAGCCTCCGAAGAATGAGGTTGTCAAAAAATAGTTTGAATTTTTCATTAAGAACAAAGAAACAGATAGACAAAGGAGAGAATTCAAAGGAGTCGCGATTTAATTAAAATTTGGAGAAAAATTAAAATTGAGCAAAATAGTGCAAGTTTTGTACATAACATAGACAAAACTGGAGCTTAATATCATCGGAATACCAAAGAACATATTGAACTGACGGAGTCTGGATCATCGGCATTTATGAGGAGAATTTGTCTCGCGAAGGGTTTTGTGTGTTTTCCCGTATATCGTGGTCTATCAATTAATTGGTGCTGACTGGATCTTTAATATCTCATAACCTATACACGTTTAAATTAAATCTAGTCGAA